TGTGCTCAACGATGATCTCATTGCACAAGTTCGCAGCAAGCTAAACAGCGGCGGCAAGGATATCTTTGCCCAGTGCGTGAAGGCGGTGAAGGCCTTTCTGGCTGGTGAGCCCTTCCGCGAGTTCGAGAACTCTATGTATTTTCACCGGTGCGTTCTGCATGCCGTCCATGAAGGCGAAATTAGAATCATTTGATTAACACACAAATACCATTGCAGATATCTACAGTGGAAGTGGCTCGAGGCGCAGCCCATCACATATAAAACCTTTCGCATGTACCGCGTGCTGGGCAAGGGCGGATTCGGCGAGGTCTGTGCCTGTCAGGTAAGTGGACAATTGGATAACAGCGCATACACACGTGTCCATTAACGCGTCATCCTCTGCTGTCGCTCGCAGGTGCGCGCCACTGGCAAAATGTACGCGTGCAAAAAGCTGGAGAAAAAACGCATAAAAAAGCGTAAGGGCGAGTCCATGGTGCTCATTGAGAAGCAAATACTGCAAAAAATCAACTCACCATTTGTTGTCAATCTGGCCTACGCATACGAGACAAAGGACGCGCTCTGTCTGGTCCTGACTATAATGAACGGTACGTATTATCCAGTTAGAGCAGCCCCATAGTGAATAAAGTCAAATGCAGCCGGTGGATTTGAAGCGCAGGCTCTAAACAATGGCACGTTCGATTGAAAGAACACAGTCATGAATAGAATTGACATTGGATGTCATCCATGTGCCCATTGGCTCTGCAGATAAGAACTCAGCTCTCGCTGGCCACTCCAAGGACTCTAGCTTATATTGGCACAATGGAGCTCTCCTATTTCAGATCATATGTTGGCCAGCAGCTGGCTTTTGCACCGACGATTTTAATCCAGTGCCAAGCTAATTGGGTTTACAGTGCCGGAAGCATACAGACAGACAGACACACACACACACACACAGAGAGCGAGAGAGAGAGAGAGAGATAGAGAGACTGGTTAGCGTGGTCATTATGCCTAACAGGCAGACATCAGTTTTCATTTGGATGCATTCATAAAAGTGATGGCGAATGAAATGTGAATGTGTGTGAATGTGAATGTGTGTGTGAGTGAATGTGTAATTCTCGCCTTTTGCATTGCTCCGTTTCTCATTTTAATTAAATTCCAACATCCTTTTTGTTCCTCGCTCATCCGATTGCCAATCGATGTCGCCATTCAGCCGAAAATTGAATTAAATTGGAACAAAGCAAGCAGGCTCAGCATTTTGATAGCCCTAGGCAGCGCGATATACATAATTAGATCGCTTCCTGGTTCCAAGGGTCGGGTCATATTAAAAAAAAATTGATGCGTAAAGAAGGTCAACGAAATTCCATTTCGAAATTCACTGGATAATTTAACATGATTGACAAAGTCGGCACGAACTTGTCCCATGTGAGCTGACATTGCTGCCCTAAATTTAATCTGTTGACTTCTTGTGCGATAAAAAAAAAAAAAAAACAACCGTTATTTTCTTTTCATTATCAGTTCATCCAAAACGATTTTTAATTCGTTCTTTTTTTCTTGCAGGCGGCGATTTAAAGTTTCATATTTACAACATGGGCGGGGAGCCTGGGTTCGAGCTAGAGCGTGCCCGATTCTATGCAGCGGAGGTGGCTTGTGGACTGCAGCATCTGCACAAGCAGGGCATTGTTTACAGGGATTGCAAGCCGGAGAACATACTGTTAGATGATCACGGGCATGTGCGCATCTCTGATCTAGGCCTGGCTGTGGAGATTCCCGAGGGGGAGATGGTGCGCGGACGAGTCGGCACAGTGGGTAAGAAACAGTGCACCAATTAAAAAGAAGAATTTAAGCATTCATAAATATATCAATCAAACAGGCTACATGGCGCCGGAAGTTATAGACAATGAGAAGTACGCCTTCTCGCCGGATTGGTTCAGTTTTGGATGCCTGCTGTATGAAATGATCGAGGGTCAGGCGCCGTTTCGCATGCGCAAGGAGAAAGTGAAGCGCGAGGAGGTGGATAGACGTGTTAAGGTCCGTTACAAGTCGCTAGGCAAGACAAGAGTCAATAATATTAAATCAATTATTCATTTGCAGGAGGATGCCGAAAAGTATTCGAGCAAGTTTAATGATGAAGCCAAATCAATGTGCCAACAGCTGTTAGCTAAATCGATAAAGCAACGCTTGGGCTGCCGCAATGGGCGAATGGGCGCCCAGGATGTGATGGCGCATCCGTTTTTCCACTCGACACAGCTGAATTGGCGACGCTTGGAGGCGGGCATGCTGGAGCCGCCCTTCGTGCCAGACGTAAGTAATACGTCGAGCCAAATCAATACCGCGCCACCTAAACATTATTTCATGCCACCAACAGCCGCACGCCGTTTACGCCAAAGATGTGCTCGATATTGAACAGTTCTCCACTGTGAAGGGCGTCAATATCGACGAGTCCGATACGAATTTTTATACGAAATTCAATACGGGCTCTGTATCCATTTCATGGCAAAATGAAATGATGGAGACCGAATGCTTTCGCGAGCTGAACGTCTTCGGTCCCGACGAGAGTCCCACGCCCGACTTGTTGATCAATGCCGTACCGGAACCGGACAAGGCAGGCTGCTTTCCATTCAGGCGCAAGGTAATAAATGATTAAGCACACTCCGTGTTTTCTTTTAGAATAACTGACGTTTCGTTCTGTCTTTCCTTATTTGCAGAAGAAGCAGCCGGCTCGCACTCAACCCATACCCATTCCTGAGCACCTGCTAACCACTAGTCACAGCGTGTCATCCACGACGGTCGAGAGCTGATAGCATAGATTAGTTAAAGCCCAAACGCCTAACGTACACACATAGAACGAATTGTGACCCCCACGCGCACAATTAACATCCAACCCCAAAACCAATCAAAACCCCCATTAGGAGCGAAGCGCAGAGAGCGCAGCACAACTGAAACTCATTGCAAAACACGAACAACAGCCACCATAACAATAAGAATCACAAGGGCGAACATTTTTTAATTTATATGTATATGTATATGTATATATATATATATGTGATGATTAAGTATGGAAGCAAGCAAGGATAGAAGGGATCCGAAAAGCATGCAAAAATTAATTTATTAATGCTTTCACAAGCGATACAGACTCACCCAACTGGCGAGTACACTGAGAGAAAGGCACGTTAGGTGGTTACTTAATCAATGGTAGTAGAACACATACCACAGCATACTATACCATAGCTACTTATTAAACAAGTACGTTTTTATGGTAATTTAAAGGCTACAAAGCGAAAACTAAAAACAAAACTAAACTAAACAACATAAAAACAAAAATAAATACATAATGAAAAGCGCAAGCCAAATTGGCCGTCAGTTTGTCATAGCACCTAAAGTAATGTTACTTAAAACACACACAGACACGCAGACACAGACATATGTATGCTGTTTAGATATGTATACAGAAACTACATATATTTAACATAAATTTATACACACACACACACGCATACACACCCAGACACGTACACACATTTCTCTTTAGAGGGCAATCTAGAGGCAATGCCAGAGTGACGAATGTAATATTTGTAAAGTAGTTTTTGTGCTCAACGTGTTATTGCAACGTGTGGGGGAGCAGAGGCGGGCGGTCAGGGGGGCTAATGCGTCAGGTGTTTTAGTTAGCGTGTTAAGCAAATGACATAAATACTCGAACAACTTTAATGCATTTTTATTGATATACTTAACATAAATAAGTACATACAACTCTACATATATGTAACATACATATATTTAAATATATGTATACATGCATATATGTATATATTTATATATATTCATGTAAATGCTTACATAAATGAATGTACATTTATTCACATACATATACATATACAATTTTTTATAATTGCCGCACACTTTTCCTACGCTTTTCAATGCTCTTCAAACAATTCTGTTGCCTAAGTTTAAGTTGACTGCAATTTGTTCATTAGGATTTTGCGAACGTGATTATTGATATTTGTTGTTTTGTCATGCAATAATGTTGCATACATGCCACAGCCTATGCTCGAGCAGGAGGCCGTATGTGTGCGTGTGCCTGTGTGTGTGTATGTATACATAATGCAATTTTGCATGCTGCAAACGATGCCAGCTAATTGCTAATTGAGACGTCGGATAGTGTTTAAGAGTTCTGTGTATAAATGTGTAGTGTAGGCATTTTTGTAATTAGCAACAAACAATTAAAAATAAAGGAGAATTTATTATGTTACTCATTAAATGCAAATCGTACACGATTGCAGCTTCAATTCGAGACAAACACATTTAGTTGCAATTCAATTCATTTTTGGCACAATTAGCTAAAATTAGGGTATACAATGGCAACAAAGAAGATTAATAAATGAAAAACAAAAAGGACAAGAATCAACAATTTACATAAATATTACATTGAATGAAGCACAACCCAAAACAAAACAAACAAAAAAATGTCAAACAATATAAACGCCACAAGCTCGAAAAAAGCATAATTGAATTTTAGCACAAAGGAATCAAAGCAAGCGCCGAAATATTTATCTATAGTAATTAAAGGCATATTTATAGATCATAATAATAAATACCAGATATACAAACATAGTCTACTGTGTAAGAGCTATTAAATGCGAAACAAAACCAACATTCAACAAAGAAAAGAAACAAAAAAAAAAAAAAAACAATAAACGTATTTAACTACAACAATAACCAATTGTTCTTTTATTTGTAAGTTCAACATTATTGATTATATTGGCATTGCGATTATATGGGTGACCTGTCATTATAATGAAGTAACGCACTTACTCAAAGCTGGATTTCTTAAAGTTTACTCATAATTATTATATGATTAATGAAGTGAGTAACAAACGGGTCGAATCATTTAATATGCCTGCAGCAATCAATTTATGACGAGAGTGGGCTTATTATTTATATTATTAAATTCATTTTAATTTTTTATTAAATTCAATTATTCAATTATATTATCAATTATATTATATTATTTTTTATACATTAACTTTTTTCATATAAGCAACGGCTTCCGCTTGCATCTGGTGACCCTTGTGGTTAGGATTTCGCCCGTATAATCCAGCTCACACTCGGCGCCATTATTCTCGAAGGACATCTCGCCCAGAACGTACTCGGGATTAAGCTCGACGCGCAAAATATATTTTTTGTTGACGGGCACCGTGGTCACATCCACCCACTGGCAATCTAGGACATGGCTGTACACGTCCGAGCAGCCAGCGGTAATCCCTATCAATGTTTTAGCGTAAGCATAGCTCTTGTGAATAGGGATCAGTTGAAAACTTACCTTGCGTGGTATTGCCACACGTGTACTTAGGGGCCACGCCTAAATTGCATTCAGAGTCCATTAGACAGAAGGAGGCCTTGTGGCCCTGGGCCACCTTTTTGTACCGATTGTCGTACACGTCGAATGTGGCAAAGACATTCATGCTGTGGTAGTGCATGTGGCACTGATGCCACTCCCAGTCCTTGTAGTTGGCATAGGGACTAACGTCGGCATTGCCCACATTGGAAGCCTTGACTGAGAAGCGCAGCAGCTTGCGGATGGCGCTCGGATTTGTCCTGCGTATCACATACGCATCCTTCGACACACAGTTCTCCTCCATGGCACAGGTCAACTGAGTCATGGGGACCAATGCCAGGTACGCACTTATCTCGATGTCCGAAACACCAAGCTCCAGATCTGCCGATTTGCTCACACAGGCCACTGTGCTGACATTACGATTCTGGGCATCGCACACGGCCGGATATGTCGGTTCTCGGCTGCATTCCAATAACTTTCGCTCAGTGCCTCGACATCGCGTACCCACCAGGCCCCAAGGATTCGTATGACTACTGCCATGCTTCGTACTGGAAATCGCCATGGAAGCGTAACCCAAGCCTAGCTGCCGGCACACGACATTGCCCTCGCGGAGTGTCCAATGCGTGCTGCAAATGGTGCCCCAACTGACGCCATTGTCAAAACTGATCTCCACGCGGCCCTCGCGCAATGGCTGGTTGGCATTTAGAGCTGGGGCAGTCGAACTGGCCAGGCGCACTTGCATATTGCGAAAATTGTTATAGATATTCAGCTCGCAGGTGCACAACCCCAAGCCGAGCAACAACAACAGAAGCGATGCTATGTGTGACTCCATTCTCCGTTGGTTAACATCTACTGCGGTATTCTCAAACTGCGGAGAGGTTTTAAACCACTCCAGACAAAGACTATACTATTTAAGAATCAAAACTTAACAAGTGAAACATCTGTCTTAATTCTGCAGCCTAGTTGTGTAAATATAATGTGCATTGTATATTTTCGTTCAGCGCCGATTTACATATAAAAAAGCCGGCTGGCTGCCTCCTCGTTTGCATGTGGTTCCGTGTGGCTCTGACTGTCTGTGCGGTGCTCTTTGCAACTGGAGTGCATTCGTTTAACGTAAATATTAACAACAGAAACAACAGATTGTGCGGCTGTTATAACTCAAGCAGCTTGGTGATCTCCACTTTGAGCGCCTCTGGCTTAAAGACGCCATGCTCCGTGATGATGCCAGTGATGAGGGAAGCGGGCGTCACATCAAAGGCGGGGTTCCAGCAATTAATGCCCGGCGCCGCAATCCGATGCTCGCCCACATGTGTCATTTCGCGGTCGGGCCGCACCTCGATTATGATATGATCACCGCTGGGTATCTGCAGATCGATGGAGGTCAGCGGTGCAGCCACATAGAACGGCACGCCATGATGCTTGGCCACCACTGCTATTTGATAGGTGCCAATTTTATTGGCCGTATCTCCATTGGCAGCCACCTGGATGAGATAAAAGACACTGATTAGATGGCCAAGCTTATTCGACGGCTTGAGTAACTCACCCGATCCGCGCCCACGACAACTGCTGCAACATTCTTCACTCGCAGCAACGCCGCTACCATGCTGTCCAGCACCAGAGTGGCGGGTAGCTTCTCGTGCACCAGCTCATAAGCGGTCAAGCGTGCGCCCTGGTTATACGGTCGCGTCTCCGTGCAGTAAACATGCTCTGCAGAGTTGTAGTTGCTCGTTAATTAGAAGCTGCCTTGTTTGGACTGAAGCTGTCGCTTACCTAGTTTGCCTAGCTCGCTTAGGTTCCGCACGACGCCCAGCGCTGTGCCATAACCTGCTGTCGCCAGAGACCCCGTGTTGCAGTGCGTCAACACACGCACAGGACCAGCTGTAGCCACTCCCGTCGCCTCTGCCACATGCTCCAGTATGGCCTTAGCTCCATTAGCGCCAATCGCACGGTTATCGGCAATGTCTTTTTCCAGCATGGCCTCGGTGGCTTTCAGGAATCTGGAATAACATTTTTGTAACTTGTATGCTCTTGACTATTTGTCTTAGGATTTACCGTTGCTTCATCTCTTCCACCGTTATGGCATCATCCTTGGTGAGCTCGTTGGCTAGCGTGATTAGCTCGTCGGCGGAAATTTTCATGTTGACAGCTGTGGGCCGTGCGGAAACCAAATAGTTAAGCTTACCTTCGATTTCCTGACGCAGCGATTTTTTGCTACTAAACACTTCTGGATAGATTTCAACGGCCAGCGACAGGCAGCCCACAATGGCAATAGCCGGAGCGCCCCGCACCTACAAAGATCGTAAACAAAACAGAAACGGAGACGCAGACAATTACTGAGAGGGTACGAATGCGGAATGTATTTGGTATCATCTGCTGCTGCTGCTGCTGTTGTGTCAACGCTCTTATCTGGCCATAAACTCTTTATAGTCACATTATATAATGCGACTCGGAGTCCACGTGATGGGCCGCATACGTGCTCTTTTTACACAGGCAACAGTAAGCAAATGCAAAGAAGTCTCTCCCTCTCGCTGATTTTATTTGTTTTACTAAAATTATAATAAATAAAAATAAAAATGCGGCCCAGCGTATGCTTCTCAATATTCCGTCTTGGTAATATGTAGAGGGCACCCCATTTAAATGAGAAATCCGCAAACAATTTGCTGTTGGGCAAGATGCAATTAATTTTGATGATGATGTGTGCAAGCGTTTTGATGCTTGGCAGCAATCTTCAAGATTTATTTAAATGATCTAAAAGAAACCTTTAATTGCGGTATTTATAGAGCGGACAAATGGCTATTTGAACATAATTCAAGAGGAATTTCATTCGGTTGAGTGCGAATCGACTAGATGATTATTGGTGCTCACCTGCATCTTGTTGATCACCTTCCAGCCATCCTCGACGCCACGCACCGGCAGATACTTGGAGACGACGGGCAGAAGCAGCTGATCGAGTATCTCCAGGCTCCCGCGCTGATATTTTATGGATTGTAGGCTCATCCTATACAATTTGTACTATACGACTAACTGCAACAGACATTAGAAGACAAAATATTAGCAAAGCTTTAATGGCTTGAAGGCCAACGCAAACAAACCAATTCAGCGGGAAGTGGCGGCTGCTTCAATTCCTATTCAGCGGGCGTCAGAGCAACAGCATTTATGTCAGAATTTATGACCAGGGCGCAACTGAACGTGTGTATGTGCGTCTGTATGTCTGTATTTATCAATTGATCAATATTAATCAAATGAAACGCCAACGCCAATTCTAGGACAGTCGAAAATTGCTGGGGCAGATTCAGACAACGTCTGACAGGCAAATGCTTCCCTTAGCTACTGAACGATTGCGATGCGAATGGACCGAGACCAATTCGAAAACAGTTTGGCAAAGAGAGAGAGAGGGCGGCGCAATTAGCTGGCTGAGGGGAGATGGGGGATGGGAGAGTAATGGGAGGCAGAGTAAGAGTGAGTGAGAGAGGCTAATTGTGAGAGTGCTGGGATTGTGTGCTAGTCTCGAGTCTAGGGTCTATCGTCTAGAGCTCATCGCGATGGCTAAGCGATTAATTCAACTTGTTCAACTTGCGTATCCGTTGCAAATTGATAAAGGCGTTGGCAGCGTTGACGGCAAAGCTGATGCCGACGCCGACGTTGACACCGACGCTGGCGTTGCTGTTGACGCCGGCGTTGCTTTAGCCGTCAGCACGTTGTCGAGCATTTGATATTTTTGCTTTTATATGACAGCAGACAGCAAATCGTACAGCGACGCTTATCTCGAAAGTGAAATAACCCTGCCAAACACATGCATACACACAAATATTTATATATGCGTATATGTATGTGTATCTGTTTGTAATTTGAACGCCTTGATAATTCTCAGAGAAGCGTAATTTATGCGCCTGCAATTAGTTGTGCGCGCTGTAACTGTCAACTAAGAAATTGGCGCTGGTTCGATGCCAAATTGGTGTTTCGACAAAAATGATGCATACACAAATAAACACACGCACACACACATGCATCTGCACACAATTGCATGCATATTAGCGGCATGCAACTGGTGGTTGCGACCAAGTCAATGCTCAGCAGCACGACCTTTATCAAAGCATTACTTAACACTACAATAAATACATTGCCACTCTCTTTTACACTTGCCTATTTTACAGAATTTTGAATGGAAAATCGAACACTAGATGTAATAAAATTTTTTTTTAATTTTAATATGTAAACAGAAAAAGGTAAACAAAGCATAGGCGAGGTAGCAGACTGTATGACCAGTTTAAAAGAAAACAGTGTGGCCTGCTGCCCAAGAATGTTAAGTTTTCGATAGCAAACATCTGATGGGCGGCAGCTCGATAAATGCCTTATTTGCCAAGCCAATATTACAAATTGTAAGAAATGTTATGAAACAGCCGGCTTTACTTTTACCACTAGTGCTTTTACTTACTATTTTGTTTACGTTTCCAAATCTTGGAACAAGTCTTATATAGAATTCATCAATGGTTTTGGCTAACAGGAACTTTTACAATATTTATAAATTTGTATTAATTTGTTTTTTTTTTTTTTCAGCATTCCAGTCGGCTTCGATCCTAACCGTGAATTATAATTATTAATTTATGTTTTGTGCATCACTTTTATAACCGATAAATTAATTTCTTGATGCACGACACTTGTTGCTGCGAAAATATGACAAAGCTTATAGAAATTGTATTTTAACACGTAACATTAGGTTAACAGAGCGCGTTTTTCCACAATCATATTAACAGCGGTATCGATATCGATAATTTGAATTGCATTCATATTGTGATACGAAGTTCTTACGACTACCAACAGAGGGCGACAGCTTTGCGGGAATTCAATAATTCCTTCAAAAATTCAAAATTTAACTAATCAATTTTGGAAGAAATATGGTCAGCCGTATGAGACAATCACTTTACCGCCTCAAATCAAACAAGACGTTGTTCATGTTGTGCGACATACAAGAAAAGTTCAAACCCGCTATTCCCTTGATCGGGGCGGTAATAGAAAATTCTAAAAAATTGGTAAGTTTTACTTATTTATCCTAAATAGAAAATAGCTTAAGTTTTAGATAGAAGCTGGTAAGGTGTTGAATGTTCCATTAGTGGTTACAGAGCAATATCCCGAAAGACTGGGCAGCACAGTTAGCGAACTGGATGTGAAACATGCCTGTGCCATCGTGCCAAAGACAAAATTCAGCATGATTGTGCCGGAAGTTGAAAATATGATGAAGAATCTTTTTAGCGATAAGCCCAAGACGGCGGTGCTCTTTGGCATTGAGGCAAGGTTTTCATATTCGAATATAATGTATTTCCGTTTAACATTTTGAATGCTCCGACAGACGCATGTGTGCGTAGAGCAAACGGCCTTTGACCTCGTCAATAACGGAATAGATGTGTGGCTGGTCGCTGACTGCTGTGCATCGCGTCTCAACCAGGATCGGGACTTGGCACTAGGGCGACTGCGTCACATTGGTTGCATAATATCCAGCACGGAGAGCGTGATCTTCAATCTGTTGTCCGATAAGAACCACAAGTCCTTCAAGGAGATAGCGTCGCTCGTAAAGAAAGTATCAGCCGACTTGAAGCTTGGGCTACCCACAACGAGTGCCAAGGACAAGAAATGATATGGGCAGGCGGCGGCTTTAGATGTCTATTCATTTACCATTAAGGTAGTCTTTTTGTGTAGCTCATAGAAATTATGAAAGAATTGAGCAGAGATAGGGCCTGCCTGTCCTCCGGCCAGCATCGTCATCTCATAAACATTTTGCCCAGCGGACAGCTGAATGGAGCGTTACCTCAGCGGCGCCTTATAAGCCAGCCAGGCGGCCAGCCAGCCGCA